TAAAAAAAATTTCCGTTAAAAAATCAAAATCTTTAAGACTCTATATTTTACAAAAAAACCCACACTATACCCCGTTCTTAGAAATACGATGCGACTAACCAAAGTATGCAACAGATAACATCAGTTTCCTACAATTATGCCTCGAATATGCACAATAAACAGTAATTAAAAACCAATTTTATGTTTAGTTCATGTCCTCAAAAATACAAGTACATAACGAAATCCATAATGAAAACAGTTCCCTACCAATTTAAAGAAATAGGACACCCCTTCAAAACGAAAGTAGCTCACGTAGTATTATTATAACAAGGAATTAAAGTTAGGAGGCACATGTTTTATGCAGGACAAGAAGAAACAGTGAGAAGGCATTTAACAATAATACTAAAACAATAATTATTAAGTTCCACAGTTCACTGTAACACCACAAAACAGGCTATAGAACTAAGCAACATTCTGTAAAAAAAGATGACATGCAAAATATGCTTCACATTTAAGACAAACAAACAAATAATACAACATATATCACATAACAAACTGCTTTACAGCCAAGTCCTATTAATTTACCGTGAGGAAGTCCAACGAGTACTCGAATTAAATAAGCAACTATAAATTATATAGTTAAAAGAATATCACTAAAAAACGAAAAAAAAAAAAACACTGAAAGACATTCCACGAGCGGCACGAGCCAGTGCAGACTGCAGTGCATCACTGTACCCCAGACAGAGCACGAAGCGCGTTAAACTGCTTATGGTACTGAAAATTCAAAACAAAATCCAGGTGGATCATTTGCCATTTTATAATCAGCAACAAGCAAAATCATGAAGATAGGCAAAAAATTCTTCAGCATCATAGAATAGACATTTAAAGGTTTCAGTTTAAAAACACTTTAATAATCATATTCATCTACGTCTTCAACTATTTCCCAAGCAACCAACTGTGTAGCACTGTGCCAATTAAAACACTTAAACGTCTTTTTAAAAACAAATTACCATAAGACACATAATTTCGTCAATCAAAACATGCATGCACTGCGTCATACGGCACCGTCAAAAAGTTGCAACTAAAAAGCTAAACTGCAAGTGAGGAGAAATCTTTTGCGCACAACAGTTAAATTTCCACATGCATGTTAATTTTGAAATTAAGAAGTGCTTTCTTCACAGAGTTAAACTGGTACACAGTATACCTTTCACATGCCAATAATCAGACTAATTCCCTTCGTTTATTGTTAGTTATTAATGACAGCATTTGTCTTCCAACACAACGGAGTACTTCGAAACAGAAGTGATGTGATTTTAAAGTAGACAAACTACGTTAAAAGCTTTTTTTTCGGACAAATAGTCCCCAACCATCAAATTCTCTGCAAATTGATGCTAATTCTTTTACATAAGTTAGCAGAAAAAAAATACTAGCATACAAAAAAAATTGAGACAACAAACTAACTGACCATAAGAAATTTTAAAAAAGCGGGAACCAAGTCAAAATTTTAAAAAGATAAGAACCAAAGTTTTATAAAAAAACCTATAGTCCAGTAACAATATAGCAAATAAAACAAATATTTTAGTAAACGACAAAAACCACTTATTATTATGATTCAAATCATGAATAAAAAATGTTTTGCAATTTAAACCTGGAAGAATAGGTATTTTGGTTGAAGATGCAGCCAGAGGCCTTTTGACTTCGATTTCGCGCTCAAATTTCTTCAGTTTCGATGAAAAACCCAGCTTTTCCGGATCCGAAGTTGACGAAGACACCTAGAAAATGTTATTTATAAAGGATAACTAGCCCAAAACAAATAGTTCTTTACATCACTCTTAAAAAGCCTTAGAAAGATTTGAAATCGTTTTTCTGAGTTTTATAACTCACTTTAAGAAGGAAGGTTTTAACAGCAGCAGAATATATTTTTTGAAAAAAGCGCATTTATTCCACCCGCAAAAGTCCTACCATCGAAAAATTGCCAAAGCCTACCTACATGTGCTGATTTTTGAAAAGTACGAAAATTTTTTCTCAAAATATGGATTTTTCAAAGGATTTCTAAACAAATAACAAATGTTGAAGATAAATCTATGCTGTACCAAGAAAAAGACAAAAATTAAAGTTCCAATCTACCCTCCGCGCTCTTGTAGAGTATTTTTGAATTTCTTAAAAAGTCCTTGCGTGCTGAAAATCCCAAAGATTTTAACTCCCACTATCACACATTCCTAATTTATGCGGCTCAAAATCCCAAAGTAGCTTACAGTCAAACTCTCTATTAATTTTTGAATTTGTGTCTCTGTTGAAGCCTCCAAATTTAAAATCACAAGGTAAAATTCCGTGCTCTGCAATCTCAATCAGGAAGCTGCACGGCTCTAACGCACAAACGATCTGGAGGAAAAAAGTAAACAACAAAACGTTATTTTGAAAAAACAAAGGTGGAGATAACATACGAAACGCAAAGAAAATACTAAATTAGATTCACTAAAATTGGTAAAAAATGCTGAAAAGTCCAAAATTTCTTCAAAATTCCTTCAAAAAATTGATTTTACTATTCTGGCATACTAAGCCCACGTATCTAAGTGACTAAACTAACTTGATGAGATTCAAAGGAACTGTTTTCACGATGTCCATCAGTGGGCAACGAGCCATAAGGAAGACCATCCTGCACATTCAATAATATAGTACAATTAATGACAGGTATTTGAGAATTTAAACAAAAAAATAAAAAAAAAAATCTTTTTTTGATTTCTGGTATTTATTCTTCTTCTTCCAGAAATTCTATCAAAAACCTCAAAAACGCATTCGTTTTCTTTACTGCCAAAGGAACTTAATACGCATAAAGAAACGAATCAAAAGAAAACTTAGAACTCACCTGACAAGAAATGACTCTTGGTTTCGGAGCAACCGGAGGAGGATTAAGACGACTATTTGTCAAGACAGACGGTTGTGAAACCGATGCAGAAGAAGTTGATGGAATCTGCTTAAAAAGCATGCTATTAAACGAAATCATTTTCATCTTTAAGAGGAGAAAAAGGAAATGTATCAACTCTTACACTGCTAATTAAACAAGTCCAGAAACTTCTTCGCCTAATCAAAAAACGGCAAACAAATATATACACACGACAGTTTTGCCAGACTTTTCTAAATTGCTCAAATTTCTTAAAGTACTAATTTGAAAGTTCAAAAGAAAAATAAAAAAATTATGGGAAAAAAAAAACAAAAAGACTAAAATTTCAAACACCACACCTAGTTAAAACCACAGAAAGATAACAAACCAAACCACCGCCTCCCTTGATTTTGTCGTCTATTAAAAGGTAGGAAAATGAAACAATGACCGGAATAAAATGAGAAAAATTAATGCTTCAACGTTAATAAGAATTGAGCAAACAAGAACAGTTGCATTAATGATGGTAGTCTGAGAACCGAGTGTGGTGGGATTGGCGAAGATGTAGCCAACGGGCCGTCATCAAGCATCGGATTACATCCTGAATCTTGAGGTTTTGGTTGAGGCGACGTTACACGGGAATTTGGCTTCTCAGTGGGTGAACCCAAGTTAGCAGGTGATTGTATTCTAGGTAAAGGTGGTGAGGAATTACCAATCCCTTGGTCTCCTCTAATGGGTAGAGAAGTCTGAAAGGTAAGAGACGTGCACAAAATTAAATTAACTGTTTGTAACTAAAATTGTTAAGCAGGCATAAACTTCGAACAGTAAAGGAATGCAACTGCATAACAAAGAAAATGCAGAGGAGCTGAAAGCGATCTGGTGCCTCTGTTAGTGGAAAAATAAACCCCAATTTGAATAAGCCACTAGTAGTTGCAAAAAAATTAAAATTTGCGAACCTGGAAACAAAAATTGCAGCTAAACTTACCGAGAAAGTGAATGCGTCACAGACAAGTAGCCTCACTACTGTTCCTGATCGCCGTAAAACTTTCGCTGCTTCTTCTTGCGAGCAACCCAATAAAGACTCATCATTTACTTCCAGAATGCGCATTCCTTGTAATAAAGACGTACTAGCAGCAGGACCATGAGGTTCAACCTGTAATTTAGAAAAAATGGAGGTGAATACTCATGACTGTACTATCAGTGACAGCATTGGAAACTAAAACCCCAATAATTTCACAACAAAAAACTAGGAGAAAGAAGGAGTGACAGGTATCTCACTTAAAATCCAGTAAACGTAATAAGTGGATAAATAAGACCACGAAAAAGCAAAAAAAACCTTTTCAATAAATATACCCTCATCGGTCTTATCAAGTGGATTGGCCGGTGGGCTGTTAATTCCACCACATATGTTAAGACCCAGAGGCTCTCCAGCATTCCTGCGTAGCACAACTTCTTTTAAGCCAACTGGCTGAGGTTCATGTGTTACTCGCAATCGAACTGTTGAGCCACTTTGCTTTAAAGCCTGCAAGCCTCACAACTTCTTATACTAACTGAACTTAATACGACTGAGGGCTTTAAAATTGCTTAATACTTTAATGCAGCTGCAAGTACAATTGTATCACATACTTCTACTGCTGCTTGATGCTTTGCATTTCGTACGTCGATACCATTTACTTCTAGTATTCTATCTCCTATTCTTAACCTCTGAGATCGTGCAGCTGGAGAATTAGAACTAATTTTAGAAATAAATACGCCAGGAGCATTCACTCCAAAAGGATGTGAAGAGTGATCGCTTCCACCGACGATGGAAAGGCCCAGAGAATTATCTTCCCTTATTAATTCAACTTCCTGAAAACAAATAGTACCTCTAAAAAAACACAAAAGAGCATCACAGGAGCAATAGGATCCATTAAATGCAACGTAATACAGAACCTCAGTACGACCATCCCATGATGAATCACCAAAGCCACATGAACGAGAGGGAGAGCTCCTCGGAGGAGGAACCACAGAACTTCTCACAGAAGAAACACTGAAAAACCGATCATTCCAGTAATATAAGAAAATGTCTGAGAAACAAGGAGTATTTTAATACCGAAGTAGAATTGTATATGTGTAATGCATAAATGCATACGGTATTGCAGCGGGATTTGGTGTATACGAACTTGCAACTGTGACGCTACGGTCCCGCTGCACAATCAAAAAAACTTCTCCAGAACCATGTCCAGTTAACAAGGCAACGGCTTGATCGTGTCTAGCCCCACGCATATTTGTACCATTTATCTAAACATGGAAACGACAGTCATAAAAATAGAAAGTTTGGAGTATCAGTGTAAAAGAATTAAAAATTTATAAAGAACAAAAAACCAACAGATAGAACGCGATCGCCAACTCGCAATTTCCCGTCCTTATCGGCTGCTCCACCAGGCGTTATAGAAGAAATGACAATAGGAGCATCGCCCGGGCTACTTTTTCCGCCAGCTACAGAAAATCCAGGAGATCCATTTGCATCTCGCCGGAAAGTAGTAGATATTGTCTCTTTGGACATGGAAGAAGCTTCTTCCGACATGAAAGATGCATCAAGACTGTGATTGGGAGATGGCTAAAAGCAAAGTTTATTGAGAAAGCACTCTCCAATTTGAAAATAGAAAATTTTTTTAACTTACAACAGCAACCGCTGATGTCACTCCACCCTCACGCATGTCTCTTAGCACTGTTAGAACAACGGTGTCCGGTGCATTTTGCATAGAAGTCACAGCAACCTGAAAAAACGATACTGGCTTTAAAATTAATTCCATTTTGCAACTCTGCCGAATTTAAAGACATCCTACACGTTCTGTGAAAGTGCTAAAAAAAGAACAGTTCTAATACATACTTGATGCCGGACATTAACAACATCGGTACTATTGACTCGTAATAGTTTGTCACCGACTTTTAAACCAGCCCGTTGTGCAGGTCCACCTTCGGCCAGTTTGGAAACAAACAAACCAGAATCATCATTCTAAAAAAGATAAATACTCATGCGTCAAAAAATAATGTAACCATCAAACAAATTGAAAGAATTTCTTCATTAAGTTCACCTTATAAGGCGTTGATTCTAAGCCTCCTGCTATTGAAAGCCCTAAGCCTCCATTAACGTCTCGATGGATTTCAATCCTTAAAGTTTCGACGCCAGGCAAATTAACTTTTTTTCCACTTACAGAATCGTATCTGTCTCCCTAAAAAAAAAAATTTAAGACAAAAAACAACAGATGGCAAGCACCGACGCAGCATGAATTCTTACGCCTTGTTCTGAGGTAGTTGGGATAGCTGGAGGAAGAACCGGAGGGTGCTTCAAGGCACTACGGGGTAAGCTAGGAGCAAGAGTAGAAGATGCTTCAGGCGAATTTCTTACGGGACTGTCTTCATTACTGCGCTTTCGACCAGATGAAGACAATGTTAGGGTGGGAGGATGATTCTGCTACAAAAAAAAGCATATTGAAACAACCTCAAAAATCTGAACCAGTCTAAATCAGCAGAAGAACTAAAACTAACATCCTCTTCGTGGTGTATAATGTGACCATCTATCGACTGCTTTTTAAATTTAGGTGCATGTGAATGAGGTTTGGGATGAGGTGTATCTTGTCGAGAAAACTGCCCAATTGCGACTTGACCATCTTCACCTTCCTCCACAGTTTCTTCCAAATCGCTCCCGAAATGAACCTTTGGACCACCCGTAAATGCCGCACGATTAGGTGATCTCTCAACTAAAAAAATAAATTTTAAGCAATCACTGTACAATAAAAGTATATATTCGAGACAGTACCTGCATGAGATGTGCTCTGAGGCAATAAATAGCAAGTCAGGACTTTAATGCCTGTGCGAATATCCTGTTCAGTTTGCAGTTTTAACATTGCTTGTGACTAAAATTAATTTGTAAGAAAGAGACTGCAAAGAATCAAGATGAAAAATAGTCAACTGTACAACCACTTTGTTTAAAAGCCAACCTGGTTTTCAGAAAGCCAAAGAGCTTGAAGTTTCAATAAAACACTGATTGTATAAGGAAGAAAATTAAGCCGATTACTGCAGACATCTAAGACGCGTAAATTTCCAAGACGACCAATCTCGAAAGGAAGCTGTTCCAAAATGTTTTCACGCAGTGACAAGACGGTTAGCGCCAAACAACCTCCAATCTTAAGCAGTTTCTTTAGTCTATGAGTGTTAAAAAGAGAAACTTTTGCATGACTTGAAATGTTATACTTAATTATACCGTTGGAGGAAGTTCCTTTAGCTGATTCTTATCCACATTAAGGGTTTGTAAGGCCTTTAAGTTTCCAATAGAGCTTGGAATAGTCTAGAAAAATAATTCATCGTTTGCAATAAAAGCTTTGCGAACATAAAAAGCAATTACTAAAAATAGTCCATGAAAGTAAAAGTTACAATGAGTTTCATGACAGTCGAAAACAAATGACAGGTGCGATGAAGAATTTTATTATCCTAACCACAGTTTAACCATCATAAAGTAGTAAAACATACAGATAAGAAATTTTCGGTTAGGTATAGCTCTGTTAATCCACTACAGGTTCCAATTGCAGGCGTCAACTGTGTGAGAGCATTTCGATCGGCTTTTAATATTGAAAGTTTTTTCAACCGGCCTGCAAGAACAATGATCTTTCTCTTGTGTCTTTCTATAACAAACTCGCATGAATTAAAAATATTTTAGCCAAGAGTTCATTCACACCTATTGAATTTGGAAGACTGTCGAGGCAATTTTGAGAAACAGTCAGGTCTGCAAGCTGCGACAATTCCCCTATTTCATTTGGCAACTGCCTTAATTTGTTTTCTGATACATCAATCTGTTGCAAATTCTTGCATTGGACAATGGAATCTGGGAGAGATTCTAAATCATTTTGGTCCACATAGAGCTCTTGCAAACTTGCGAGAAGACCAATCTCCTCAGGCTGAAAGTGAAAAATTGATAAATTCCTTTAAATACTTGTGAAGTTAAAAGTTTTTCATCCGAAAAGTTAAAGCTCACCAAATCATCCAACTCGTTATGCCCAAGATCCAGCCTTTGTAATTGCAAAAGTTGGCTAATCGACGCTGGAATGCTCCGAAGCAGATTTTCACGAACTTCCAAAGAACGAAGACTTCGCAGTTTCCCAATATCTTGAGGCATTTGCGTAAGTGATATGTCGTTCAAACCAAGGTGGGTCATAGATGTCAATAACGTTATTGTTAAAGGTAATCTAAAACTGTTCAAATAAAAACTTGTGTAAAACCAACAGTCCTAAAAAAAATACTATTATAATACAAAAAATCACCGCTTAATGAAACTAAAAACTATGTTCTTTGAATAGTAACAAAATAAACCTAGTTATCGGATTAGAACTAAGATCTAGAATTTTTAACTGAGTGCAAGACTTGATCTCTTCCGGAAGGTCGGACACATCTAAAAAAGTGAAAATAACTAAATATGATATTCAAATAAAAGAAAAACAGAAGTGATGAAGAAAAACAAAACTAGAAACAATTTTTACAAATCTGTTACCGTTGCCTTTAAGATTTAGCTCTTCAAGCAGTACCAAGTTGGCAATGTCGGCAGGAATACGAATAATTTCATTTTCACTTAAACTTAACGTCTTTAACTTCCGGCAGCGAAATAACGGCTGAAATTGTTATCCAAGGAGATTAAGGATGAATCAAAAAATATTTGCTATTACTGACAAAACCAAAAATACTGACTGAAATAAAACGCTTACCAGAGCTTTAAAGTAGATATGAAACAGTAAAAAAGGCAACAAATATTGTGCTAATCCGTTCTACTACTCAGAACAAAACAAAATAAAATAGAGGTCTTCCTAAGACATTTATGTTAAACTAATCCAAGAGAAGTGGAATCGTGCTTAGAGCGACAATGTGCGTATAAAAAACAAAACTGTCAGTGTTTTCAAGAATGTTATAAAGAAAACTGACCTTGTCAAGGTCCTTTATGTGATTGCAGTCCAGATATGCTTCCTCAAGAGTACGAGCATTCCGATCAATGTCACTGGGAACATTCTGTAAATTACACTGCCTTCGATCCAAACAATCAACTTGTCTATTACATGCAAATAGAGGTATGCATGAAAATCGCATTCTTTGCCACCTTCAACTTTTTCTGCCTAATTTTTATTTTTAACTGTTAATGGGAATAATCAGTATAATGATGTTCACAGCCCTCCCCTAATCCACACACTTTGCTGCCTGCAACTGAAAAAAAGAAAGCAGTGTATAAACGAATATTAACTTCCAAAACTTTTTATATTACGAAAACATTTAAAGTGATCGCCAATGAAACATAGGAAAAATTTAAAAAACAGATACTAAAAACAAACTCAGAATCACCCTGCCAATCCAAAATACAAATTCAATACAGAAGAGTTCACAAACAATAAACTAAACGTCGTGTGCTGAAATACCAGAACCAAAAACCGTATACAAACGACATATTACAACAAGATTGTTCAGCAACTAGAAATTTTGGTCAATGAAACACCTAAATGTCAAAAACAGATCTTTTGAACGAAAAAATACAACAGTTTATAGTAAAAACCAAAAGAAAAAATAGATCAGCGGGGGTGAAACACAGGAATACTTAAAATCCCTAATCCTTTTCAAATACTGTCAAAATACTTTAAAAAAGAACTAACTAGAAACCTTCCAAATTCAGTCATGAAAACCACAATGTCAATACATGCTTGAAAGCATGACAGTGATAATTGAAAATGAAAAACTTTGACAGTTTACTGAAACCGGAAACGGCGAAGAAACGGTGCAAACAACAACGTATCAGTTGCCTGTACAAAGAGCACACAACAAAAACCAACACTCACAGATTTTTCAAACAATAAACCACTACTCATGTGGCCGTCAAAAAATGACATTTAACCGTTAATTTGAACGTAAGTTCAAATCCTTTCATTCATCAGTAGCACACTAAAACAAAATAGATTTTAAACATAGATTTTAGACTAAATTCACATTTGCTAATCGTTTTCAAACAACAAAGGTTTTAAGAATGTAGTTTATAAAACAAAAAAGAAACACATAAACAAAAAAAATGTTTCATAAAAGTTAATTACGTTTACTCGAATACACGTACAAAAAATTTAAGAAAACCCTTTTAAAAGTAGCAAATTTCAATGCACTTTGTAAAGCACTCGTAAATTAATCAGTGTTTGCAGAAAAAAAAAAGATTAAAAAACTGCTACTACGTTAAACTTCTCCCTACTTTCGGTCGTCAACGATTTCCTGAAATGTCCTGTCAAAAGTTACACCGAGAAACTGTTGCCGATTGCCAAAAAAAAGATAAAATTTAAATTTGCAGACACCCATGTAATTCTTTTAAAAAATAACGCTTTGCATTAAGAGCTCCCACCAAATCAGAAAGATTAAAGTACAACCGTTTCTAACAAAAGCATTGGAAAACCCTTTCTCTCTCTTTACCTTCTTTCTATTGCCACACTTCAAAACATGAAATAGGCTGTCTCCAAACAGAATTTTGAACTAAAGTAAAAAACAATCACAGCAGTGATAACGAAGTGCCAACGTAAACGTTAAAAATATATAAAAAGCATGGAGAAAATTATGATTCATAAGTAACAGAAAATCATAACAAAACAAACAACGAGGAAAAAAAATGTCGCTCAACCTGTCTAGAACAAAAATCTCGAGAAATTTTTGATAAACAAGAAAGATTATCATCCAGAATGAAAATGAAAAAGAGAAAAGTTAAAATCACCAGGAACTAATACAAATTTGAAACAGTGAAGGGGCTTACACAAACATAAGTTTAGACCTAAATGACCAGTTGATCAAAATTGAAACTATAGCTAAATGTATACCAATTGCTGAAGTAATAAATTTTGATGGAAAAATTCTTTTTAAAACTTTAACTATTTTCTCTAATATAAAAAATATAATAAAAAAATGCAAAACGGATCCGCTGTTATTATGATAAAATACTCCTTGTCACTGACAAACTGGTGTTGCTAACAACAATCATAGTATACAAAAATCATAACAAAATGAATGTCAAAAAAATTTCTCATTTCATTTAAAAAAAGACTAAAAATGCGACCAAAGCCAAAATATGAAAAAAAAGAGCAGGGAATTCATTAAAATAAGTTAAAGATAAACCGCTTATTTGCTCCGAATACTGATTTCGCTTCCCTTTTTTTGGCTCCATAAGCACTGCAAAACAACGTTTGAATATGCAAATATGCAAACAACCCTAAATTAAAATGCAAAAACTGTTAAAAACTCCCAAAAATTTCATTTGATATTTCAGAAAAACGTGAAAAAGTGAAAAAAATTGAGATTGAAGAATAGAAGCCTCTAAGTAGCTGTCGCTCGAGTATGGTAAGGTAAAAGCAAGGTTAACTAAAATAATAATTTCATTTGTTCTCTGTCGGTGATCAGGCCACTATAATGTAACAACCAAATAGCAAACCAATCCCAGTCCCGTTGACCACCGACAATAACACCTGCAACGAAAGAGAACAGAAAAATACAATACCTGCAGTAAAAATCAAGCTTCCAAATAGACGTTCCTGCCATAAATAGTAAACCATAACTCCTGAAAAACCCTTCCAGATCAATCGTTGGGTAAGTCAATAACCAATATATGAAAAGAATCTAATACTGAAAATAAAAAAACTAAATAGCAAATATCCTCCAACTAGACTTGCAACTCTATTAAATCACACCAAAACAGCATTGATTAAATGCATAAGTACATAAAAAGACATGCATAAAATTTAGCGCTGAAAAATCAGTAAAAGACAGATAAAAGAAGGTAAAGAAAATAAAAACGTGAGAGAACAAAACGCAAGAAAATTTTTGAACTCAACTCTTTCACTTGCAGCTTCTACACTGTTAATGAATGAACTAAAAATAAACGAAACAGCATCTGAAAAACATTCCGATGAGTTTAGGAAACGCTTCTTTCCTTTTCATCTCATCTTAATTTATTTGCCATTAATCACAGCAGAAATCTTAAAAAAGACATCAGAAACGGAAGGAAAAGCCGACAATATTTTCGTAAAAAACAAAATTTCTTCTCCCTCGTAAATTACTAGGCCTATTAACAAGTTCAACGACTTGTTATCCGACTTCCACTTGATACACATAAAAAAAAAATTCAGTAGTAAATTTCACTATGCCATCATTACACGAGACCAAGTGAATTAAAAAAAAAAACGTAAAATTTGCAGCAGCCATTGATTGTTCCTTAAGTTTCAGCCACTACTGTCTCAATATAAAACCAATGCAACATTTTCTCCCACTTTTCACTTGAAATAACAAAGTACAACAAAGTAAAGCCACATCGGAATTTATCTGAAAAGTAAAATTTATTTAAATAATAACAAAAACAATAGTAATAATGACTGCTTTATGGAGGTGACGCAGTTAAAGTCGCCTGACTTATTGCTAATTACGGTATGCAAGAATCTACGGCTTCAAAGCCAACACATACAGCCATCCTATGAGCGTTTGAACAGTTCCTCTTTTATCACAGTCTGTCGATACAATTCGCAGCTCTTAAACCTTCAACAGCTTTGCCCCTTGCATACTTTTGCTAATTCTAAACACCAAGAAAGAATACACCTTTTCAAGCTTTATTTTGCAGACTCAGTAACATAACTTCTAACTTCAGTATATATGCAACTATATATACAAGCACATTTCAACCAGTATCCCCTTTGAAATTAAAAAAACGTGACAAAAAATAAAAACAAAGGTAATAATGTAAGAGAAACAAATACTGTAAACAACATTTTTTTTAAACGATAAATATGTAGTAATAACTGCACAAGCTTCGGTGCCAACCAAGTAAAGTTAATGAGCATTACTGATGACCCGAACAAAACAATGACGATTAAAACCGGGAGACGTGCTGCCATTTCATAAAACCTTTCTTTTTCTCAATGTTTCCGAGCCAAAAAAAA